GTTTCGCTAATATGCAAAACAACTGAGCTCATTTTTCAAGGTTTCCTCCCCATATTTGTGTGAACACAAAGCAGGAAGTTGGATTAATGACCCCGTCCCTGCTCACTCCGCCCTGGTGCTGCTCTCCTCCTCATCACAAGCAGCAGCCGCTTAAATAAGTCCCTTCTTTTTGCAGACTTTGCAGCGACTTTTTATTTTTCTGCGCCACTGACTGTGGTTTTCAATCCATGTTGTGTTTGACAGCACATGCAGTGAACGGCCTGAGTGCTGTAGGTTGCAGCAGCAGATAAGACCAGAAAAAACCAGACTGGCCCACCAGGACAATACCCAAACTGCACCTGCTGATGTCAGTTAAAGAAATTCAAGACTAAGATCAAACCAAACCAGAGAAAGACAAAGTAAACTGGAACAGGAAGAAGAATCGTACATAAGTTACAGTGCTACGTAATCATACATTAACACAAATGATCATGTACAGTTTATAAATCAAATCAAAACAAGAACACATACAGCCATCTGTCTATAAATATCAAATAAATAACAATCAAATTAAATACAGACAAAGACAACTTTCAGAGACACTTTAGAAATGACGTTATTCATCTGGTTATGATCAATAGCAGACTGTAAAATATTCATTGATCAGTGAGTGTCAACAGACGTCATTTACAACCAAAACCACCTCCTTCCTGCTCTGAGCTGAAACACAAGCAGACCATTAACGGTGACTCACCCTGTGCTAATGTGTGGGGATAATCTCATTACCTGGGTGGTCTCCTCCCTGTGATCGCTGGCCATTATAATACTGTACACACACGCGCACGTTACCACAGTATGACCCCACTCTGAAATGTGTGTTGTGGTATTATGTTGCAGGATTACAGTTCCAGTGTGTTAGTGCTGTTTATCCAGCTACATTTAAGTATTGATCCAAGCCTGTGTGTGTGTGTGTGTGTGTGTGTATGACTGCCCTAGTCATGCTGTGGGGAAAAAAGGTAAAATCGTTGAATTCTAAAATGACGACTCGTCATCTATCCATTATCTATACCGCTTATCCTGAATGGGGCCGTGGGGGGTTGGAGCCAATCCCAGCTGACACTGGGTGAGAGGCGGGGTCCACCCTGGACAGGTCGCCAGTCTGTCACATGGGCTGACATGTAGGCAAACAACCACACACACACTCACACTCACTCCTACGGGCAATTCACGAGTCTCCAGTCAACTTAAGCTGCATGTCTTTGGACTGTGGAAGGAAGCTGGAGCACCCGGAGAGAACCCACACAGGCTCAGGGAGAACATGGAGAGTCCGCACAGAAAGGCCCTGGGTCGGCCAGGACTCAAACCCGGAATCTTCTGTGAGATGACAGCGCTAACCACTGTTCTACCGGCCATTCCTGTCTTTTATGAGGTTAATTGTTTGGATGATAAGTCTAACCAGGGACAGGGGAGTGTAGAGCAGTAACAATATCTTCTAGGGTACAGTAGAAGTATAACATGGCGTTAAAACATCATACTCACCTCAGGTTTGTACTGTAGTACAGCCAGTATATGTACTTGGTTCCTCTCCACCACTGCCCGGTGCACAGCTCTTCCTGAAACTGTACTTGTGTTGTTTTTGCCTTTCTGGTTTGTGCACATCAAACAAACAGCATGAAGTATTAGTGCGACCATGAGGATGTGAAACCTCGTGCAGATGCAGACTGAAGCAGTTTGCTGTTTAACCGACTGGCTGCTGTAGGAGGGAGATTATTTCATCTGAGCAGATAAATAACTGGGCATCATTAAAAACTCATCAGTGTGCGGTGTGTGTCTGTGTGTGTGTGCGCTTCACTTATCAGCCCAACAGATGTGACTATTGTGCTCCATTAATGAGGGTTTAGAGGAATAATTACAGCGAGCTGAGAGAGGCGCTGTGCGGTTTATGTCTGTGTGAGAGGAAAAATGGCTCTCAGCAGTAACTGGGTGTTCATCCTCCTGATGAGTTCGGTCATGACCTTTGTTCTCAGAGCCACCATCGGGGCTAAACCAAATCTGGAACATGGACGGGTATGTGATGGAAGTCAAGTCGAATTTCGTCACGTTTTGCCCATGTAAAAGATTCCCTGGAAAAACGAGCTATAGAAAATGACATTGCTGTAGTATTAGTAGTGCTATCAGATGTTGTTTAAGAAGTGTCATACTGACCCTAAACGGTTTTCAGTGGGGGACACTTGAACCACTGGTTTCACTATGAGACACCAGAGTTACTGCACAGAGGTAAACACCTCAGCTTGACACGCTAACCCTCCACGGTTTGGTTCAGGAAAAGATCATGGCTTAAAACACTGATTGTTTTTGCACATTTCTTGAAACATCCCTGATATAAGATAACAGTGTCCCTGATAACAGTAACAGCAACATGAATAGATAATATTTTCACTAATGAATTGGATCAGTTAGATGTAGGGCTTTTAATAACCGATATTAGTGACCATCTATCTGTTTTTGCAGTTTACCAAAATGTGTTTAAAGTACACTCCAGGTCTACGTATGAATCCAGACCGGACCAGAAGCAATAGAAGTATTTATAGAAGAATTGAGCAGGCAAATTATAATTATGAAAACCCAAATGAGGCCTATGATAATTTCCTGGAGAAAACTATTAAAAATATAGGATATAATATAAATGCTGTCCACTTAAAGCAGTTAAAGTTAGTAATAAGATACAGAAACCTTGGTTTACTAAAGCTATCATAAAAGCATGTAAGAAGAAAAATATATAGAACATTTTTGAAATTTAGAACAGATGCTGAAAATAAATATAAAGAATAGAAGAATAAATTGGTAAATATAATTAAAAACTGTAAAAAAGAATACTATATAAAATTATTGCTAAAACATAGACAAGACAAAATATACAAGGAACATGGAAAGTACTAAATAGTGTAATACATAAAAGACAATATCGTGGTGAGTATCCAAGTCATTTTATTAAAGATAATAGAATTATAAATAATATTAATGAAAGTGTAAATGAGTTTAATGATTATTTTGTTAAAATTGGTTCTACTTTAGCAAATAAAATACTGCATCTTCTAGACCCATTTCTTATTAGAAAAGTTATTTGTTAAAAGGCTGGATAATGATAATGAATTAAATAATATTTTAACTGAAGAACAATTTGGTTTTAGAACACATAGGTCCGCAACAATGGCAGTTATGAATTTAGTTGAAAATATTACGCAAGCATTAAATAAGTTGTGGAATAGTTTTCCTGATGAAATAAAAAATAACTACTTCATTACCACAGTTTAAAATAAAAGAATGGTAATAAAAAGATATACTCAATAAGAATAATAATAATCATAAATATATATTCAGAATACTCAGTTGTTGTTTTTTTAGATTAAATTTATGTCCATTAGTGCTGCTAAGGGCAGGCATAATAAGCTTTAGCTTCAGTCTATACCGTTGGTCAATAAACATTGTTTTTATTTATTTCATTTTATTTTTGTATGATTATGTCTGTGTGCATACATGCTTTTGTTCAAATGGATGTATGTACCCTTATGCTTTTTAAAATAATTGCAATTCTAATTTTGCTTGTTGACCAAAAACGTGGCAGTCAGAAGTACAACAGAGTACCCTGGAAGTATGTTCACGTCAGCTTGGCTCAGGCTTTGATGACAATGAAAATAAACAAGGCTGCGCTTTATGGCATATATGAATATCTACAGTACAAAGTTTGACATTACTTTATGTGGGGGATGGACAACAACTGGACAGATTCACATTTATGCTTTTACTGCCATTGTGATACAGAAAGCAAAGTGCAACACTAGAACTATAAACCTAGGAACCCCCCCGACATGCAGCGCTGTATGGGGAGTTACTGTTCAGTCTTACACATCGTGATGTTGCTGCCTGACTTTGGTGGAATGTCTTATCCAGCCTCTGCTGTGATGTCGTCACATGCTGCATCCATGGCAGCCAGCAGGGTCGTCTGAATATGCAGCTGGCGATTAGAAACCTTCCGCCTCTGTGCCGAGTAGAACTCCTCAGCTGGGTAAAGGAATAGCAAATGGGGAGAAATTCCATCAGCAGCCCGCAGAGGGTCACAGATCGCTGCCTGAAGGTTCACGAGATGCACCTGTGGGTTTTGTCAGACAGCTGGCTGATCACTGGCTGATCCAGTGCTTCACACATCCCCTTTCATTAGTGAAAGTCAAGATTCACCTGAGAGCAGTTTATTAATTCATCGCCATTTGCAAACCAAGTTTAAGACGGCTGTATAGAACTATGCCTGACAGATACTAAAGCCAACCAGTTCCTAACTGTGGGGACATATGAGTCTGAATAATCTGAATGGAATGAATGGAGAAGTGTGAGTGTGAACCAGACAGGGATTACTGCATGTTTACCTCCACATAGCATCAACCCTGTGAGGGATGATGGGCGGCTGGGCGTCTGCTGCAGCCGATGAAGGATGTAGCTTTTTATTTTAATGTTTTTACTCAGATTATATCTTTTTCCCGACCTGCTGACGATGACAAGCTGTCACAGCCCCACAGATACCCCCTTGTCTTTGCAGTGAAGCCTGAATCAGAGGAGGGCGGCGTTCATAAAGCTTCAGTGAATCCGAGCTTTTCTAACACACACACAGGTGTAGGAAGTTTATTGAAGTGAATTTCTTGCTTCCACACCAGGACAGTATCATATAGTCAGTGCCGTCATAACGTAGTCTTTTCTTCATAGTGATGATGAATTTAGGATCCTAATGTTGTGTTTATATGATTCACCATGACACAGTTTTTAACGTAGCGTGTGTTGGCTGTGGGGAGTGAACATCCTCAGCTGCATGATGGATGGTTTACTGCAGGTCTGTTGGATCACACTGACCCAGTCTGATGCAAGGTGATTGGCTGAGAGATCTGTCTGTCAAGTCAAAGGTGTGACCCCCGCACAACAGCCTCGGTGAAGATGAATAACCCCCTCTCCTCTCATCGTCTCCTCCTCTGCAGGAGATGTGGTGGACATCTACCAGAGGGAGTTCCTGGCGCTGAGGGAGCGCCTCCACTCGGCGGAGCAAGAGAACCTGCGGCGCTCCAAAGAGCTGAACCTGGTCCTGGAGGAGATAAAGAGGGCCATCGCCGAGAAACAGGCGCTCAGAGACATCAACCGCACCTGGAGCAGCCTCTCAGGTCGGTGGGGTGTGGTTTGGTTCATGACGGTGACATTTCTTCATCTGGTCTGGTCTCTCCTCATCTAACCTGGTCCCTCTCATTCTCAGAGGAGACCAGGCTGAAGCTGTGGAACGTGAGCAGCAGTAAAAACACTCTGCAGCTTCCCTCCATCTTCCATCATCTTCCTCACCTATTGAACAGGGAGGACAGCCTGCAGCCTGCCGTGCACCTGGGACAGGGACGCACTGGAGGTACAGCCGCCACACATTTTCTATGCAACAAATCTGACAAATGATAATTCACAATATACTTACTTATACCATCCTAATGTCAGGCTCCCCTGACACATCCAGCATCCCCTGGAGGATAAAACAAACAGGCCTGACCAAGGTCACTGTGTGTGTGTGTGTGTGTGTGTGTGTGTGTGAGAGAGAGAGAGACAGGTCTATGTCGGGTCCAACATTTTTTCTGCATAGTAAACCATTTTCTGAAAAGTCTGCATTACAGGGTGCATAAATACTTACGTGTGTGTGTGTGTGTGTGTGTGTGTGTGTGTGTGTGTGTGTGTGTGTGAGCTCACAGCCAAATGTATTTATGAGGCACTTTGAGTAAAACAGGGTAGTGGAAAGTGCTTTATGTTACAGCAGAGGACAGAGATAATAACAAAGGAAAGAAACAGCAGGAAGTGTGTGTGTGTGTGTGTGTGAGTGTGTGTGAGTGTGAAATCCGATTAATCTGTACAACCTCTGAAATAAAACAGCACAAAGCACAAAATGCTCATGTACTTTATATTCTAGTTTTTACTGTGGCCCAGCCTCTTTTGTCCTGGGCCATTCTGGTTCCATCTAGTTCAGTTTCCAGAACATGGAGTTAGTGTAAGTGAAAAGCAGACACCACCTGTTAGGGAAGAGTGGGGTTATACCCTTTGAGCTTCTGGCAAGCATTTAGTGTGAAACATCTTGGCAAGAAGCACTGAGTTTTACTGACAACACTGTATCAGCAAACAAAAAACTAAGTTCATTTCAGAGGAAAGTTCAACACTCCCAGGTTCCCTGAACTACCCACTGGCTCAGTGTATTTGCTGGACAGAGTTTACCCTCACTGTCCCAGGAACTACCCAGTGGTTCAGTCTATTTCCTGCTAACCTGCCTCAGTCATGATTTTCCTGGATTATCTGCTGAATCTGTTTATTTACTGGGAATGTTTCGCGCTCCCAGTCTCCATAAACCACCTAGCAGCATGGACGGATTATGAGACACTGGGGCGCTGGGCACAGACATGTGAGGGGCCCCTCACCCTCTTGCTCCTGTGCAACACCCCGAGACTGAAAGACTTTAAACTTCAAACCCACCTCTGTTCCTTTGTGCACGTGCAGTCTCCATAGTGATGGGGGTTCCCAGTGTGAAGAGGGAGGTCCACTCCTACCTCACCGACACGCTCAGCTCTCTGATGTCCGAGCTCAGCCCCGCTGAGAAGGACGACTGTGTCATCGTCATCCTCATCGCTGAGGTACCTGTGTGTGTGTGCGTTGGGGGGGTTACCTGCATGCTTTGTAAAGGTCAGTGGTTTAGCGGACGAACACATGCACACTGGTAATGACTCTGTGTTTAGCATTCTGCTAATGAGGTGAAACAATCATGACGTGTGTGTGTGTGTGTGTGTGTTTGCAATTACAGAGGTGAAGGTCACATTTTGAGCTGCTGTTTATTCAGTTTATTCATTTGGCTTACTGCACTTATATTCTATTCTCTTCTACCTAATGTGTTTTCCTCCACGGCTGCTTGACATGACTGCTGGCTGGAAAAACCCTTCTTCTAACCTTGGCTAGGCGGCAGGCGGGGCTGATTTACAGACCGTACTAAATACAATTTTCAAATAAAAGTAATCAAAGGCTGCTCAGACACTGGCCAGCTCCTGCTCCGCTTCTCCCGCTGCGTCCTGTCACTTCTCTTCTCAGCTTTGTCTTTTTTAATGACATCTCACAAAGAAGCTCATACTAAAGTCTTGTATTATGTAGTATCTAAAAAGGTTTGTTTGTGAAACAGTGAGCTGACACTTTCTGCTCAGTGCTATGCAGTGTATATGTACCAACAAGTACACAGTACCACTAGTGCAGCCAGCAGCACTTGGCTTGGTTCTGTAGCATAATCGGTGGCTCCCCCACAGTCTGAACCTTTTCAGACTCTACACACTCTGGGTATTTGCACATATTTCCACACTTCCACTGGTGGGGAGACGTTTGCTGACGTGCCAAAGCTGCTGTCACAGACTGCTGGGTCTGGAGAACAGACCAGATTCGCTCTGAAGGAGTGAGCCAGAAACCACGAGTTGTGAGTTGGACCACAGAGGTTTTATGGCCCAACACTCCCGCTGTTTGTTTTCATCTGCGTCTCCATTCAGCATTCTGATATCTCGTTCCTTTTTCCTCCAGGATGATATTCTGTAATATTTCCAGTCATGGCCAAAACTAGCAGCACCCCTGCATTCTGTCACATCAGGCACCACTTCTCCCAGACGACGGTAGCAGTCACAAATTCTTTGGTATTCTCATGTTTATTTCTTTAGTTTGCATTGGAACAACAAAAAACTGCAGAGAAAAAGTCAAGTCTGACACTTTCCACACAGAACTCCAAACATGGACTGGACTTTGTTTCAGAATCATCAGAAACAGTTGTATTTCCAGCCTGTGATTCTCCTTTCATTTGTAAGGACACTCACCTGGGCTTAACATCACCATTACTGTCAGTCAGATATCAGTCAGTCCAGGATGAACGTGGGCAGCTGACCACCTGAACCTCCCTCCGGATGTCGGTTAAACAAACTTCAGTGTCCATGTTCTCCCACTGTTTAGCTTCTTCTCTCAGGCTGAAGCCAGCGAACAGGGTTTTAATCCGAATGGGCCTGAACCAGCTGTGGCAGAGCACAGGGACAGATACACACCTGTAACCATGGTAACTGTTGCGGTTTCTTTACCTGTCCTGTGTCTCCTGCAGCAGGTAGTAGGAGGTGGAGCCAGTTAGGCCAGCTGGAGGCTCCTGGCCCAGTGCCTCCTGCCTATAAATCTCTGACTAGCTTCAGCCCTGTGGGAGCTAAGTAGTTATTTTTGTTAAGCCAAATTAAAATCAGGTGCCAGGATAAAACTACTTATTGATAAGCTCTTGATTCTGCCCACACGGATCCTAGTGTTCCCCTCTGGTGAAGGGATCCTGAACATCCTCCCCAGTGAAAGAGCATCTTTTAAAAGGGAACCACAGGTGTGTCTGAAGGTTTGGTCACCTTTTCTGGATTGTTTCCAGCAGACCTGAAACCCTTATTATTAAGGGGTGGGAGCCTGTTTGTGTGGAAGATCCTCCTCATTACCTCAGCTTCAGACACTACATGGCCACTGATGACTGTTCAGATTTTTCTTCTCTCTTTTCCCACTTGTTCAGCTATAAAAGTGGCCAAATGTAAAGCAGCTCTGTGTTTATATGAGAAACTTCATAAAGTCAGAGGGAGGAGCGCTCACTAAGAAGCCAGCGTCTGCTCCTCGTTAATGCTGAGCTCTGCTGTGAGCTCCACCCAGCCGGCACCTCCAGGACGACAAAACAAACCACAAGCGCTCCGCAGCTCCACTCGGCTGCTGGAAACGTGGGTGACCTCATGGTGAGCTTCGGAGCCAGATGATTGGGTCCCAGAGGGAGCCCATCTGTGCCCCGATTGGCCGAGAAGGAGGCCGAACGCTGATGTCATCGATTGCTCAAGTTGTTGTGTGGGTGGGAACTAGTGTGCGCTTTGTTTGCAGTACATCATGAAACTATTCAGTTTACTGTGTGTGTGTGTGTGTGTGTGTGTGTGTCAGCATGCGTTGTGTTCTTTTTATAGGCTCAACAAACAAACAAACAAAAGGTAATGACCAACAAAGACTGAACTAAAGCTGCAAGCAGGGAATCAAACCAGCTGCCCATTAATTATCTTTTGACTAAGTAAGGGACAGTTGTTTCAGCCTTCAGGTTGGTTCACAGTGGAGCTGATGACCCCCCACAGTGACTGTTTGTTTGGGTATTTGTTTATGTGCGTGTGTCTGGTTGAACCGTGCATGAAGAAGCTGAAACACTTCCTCTCTACAGCAACTCTCTGGACGGGTTACACAGGAACTTGAGAAGATAAAGAAATGGTGTGACAGTAATATAGTATCTCTGAATTTGGATAAAACTAAATTTATGGTATTTGGGAATCGTAGACTAGATAATGAACTTCAATTGAAAATTGGGGGAGCTAATATAGAACGAGTACATGAAATTAAATTTCTAGGTGTCATAGTTGATGACAAATTCTCCTGGAAATCTCATATCAGATATGTTCAGAACAAAAAATATATCGATATTGGCAAGGGTTAGATATATTTTGGA